AGAAAAAAACAAACAAATTTTCAATTTTATTTCCATCATTTTTTGTTATAATTGATTTTATTCAAAAAAAAATAATTAATTAATAATTAATTAATTGAATAATTATTTTTATTTATTTAATTTAATTTATTTAACGCCTATCATTTATTCACTTATTTATTTATTTATCATGTGTAATAATAATTGAACTGAATTAAAGAAAAATGACTTGATCAATGATGAATAGTTTTGCTGCTTTGTTATATTTTTGTTTGTTTTACTTCGAAAAAAAGTTCTTATGTCAATCAGTCTATAATGATTGATGCAAAACTGTTATCATTATTATTATTATTGCTGTCTTTTATCAGTTTGACCAATATTTAGATTGTTTTTTTCTATAGTTATTTTATCAGTGAAAAGGATTTTTATTTCATGATAGATTTGTAGTGATTGTTGTTTATTATTGAATGAATGGATGAATGAATGAATCATTCATTGTTAGACCATCAGTGAAAAACCTGGAAGCATTGGACTACTGTTTTGTTCTGGTATAGGATTTAACCATAGTAGTATGCATTCATGACTCCTGCTATTCGTATAATGTGCTCATTAGTGATAAGCAGCTTTCTGAAGCAATTCTCAGAGTTTAGGTGTGAAGTCCTAACCAGTGGAGTTCAACTCTATAGAGTGTGGGCAGTAACTAGCGACGAAAAATCGATGAGCTGGCACAAAATCCCTAGATTGATCAAAGATAGGCATGACTACCGTTGGATGCCGGCTGACTTTGTGGCCTAGAGATAAAGCACTCGCGCGTAAGATTGTAGGTCCTGGGTTCGAATCCGGCGAGGTGCAGGTGTCGTGGGACCATACTACTATCGGAGAGTTCTGTAATAGGACGAAACGGCCATAAATGATTCCAGACTTTCAATGGTGGTCTAGCATTGATCGATTCATGATTTCAGTGATATATATAGTTACTTACTCAGTTTTACGCCATACTAAACTGTTGGGGATGTTAGATCCCCAGAACTCGCTTGATAAATATCTTTATTTTTTTAAATTTATTTCATGGACCAGTCAGTTCACCTTGAGATTATATTTTCCACCAAGAAGATCCTTGGCTGTGATTGGTTACTGTGTCTTTTTAGTGTACTATTTTTGTGACTATCCCAAAGACGTCTCTATAGAGTATAAATAAACGCGATTTGAGTACCTGGATTCATTGTGTGCTATCTGGGTGTTTGTTGAATACAATTTCTACACTATATCAAGACTTCTTACTGATTCGATTTGGTCAAGGAATCACGGAAGCCTACCTGAACGTTGTTTCATTGTTTTATTCTCGTTATTCGACTAAGGTGAACTCATAATAATTTAAGCTTAACAAACAGACGCACGAATAGATTTATTTCCAATTCGTAAAATTAATATTTTTGTCCCAAAATGAGTTGGTAATACTAACACCTGATTGATCAAACCCAGTTCACACATTTATATACATTTTAAAAATAAAAATGACTTGTTTGCCCATTTTATTTTTTGCAAAATGATTCTGATTATCTATTATATACATTTTAAAAATAAAAATGACTTGTTTGCCCATTTTATTTTTTGCAAAATGATTCTGATTATCTATTATATACATTTTAAAAATAAAAATGACTTGTTTGCCCATTTTATTTTTTGCAAAATGATTCTGATTATCTAGTGTAGATATAGTATTCAATGTGAGGTATTCTATGTTGGTGTCAGATAAATTTATATATGTTTGTACATATAAATAAATATATGTTGCTATGACATTTAATTTCGAAAAAGAGGAATGATTTTTTGTTTTAAATTGTTATATTATAAAAAAAAAATAATTTTCATTGAACTAGTAGTTTTATTAAATTTAGTTGACAGTAGAGTTCTTTTTTTCTTATTTTTCAATTGTATACAATGAAATAACACTTTTGATAATGATTAACGAATTATTACAATGAATACTAATAGTTGTACTTATATGTGTACTTGTCATAATTTTCGTTTTGTCGCTTTTAGTTTACTTGTTCATTGTGTCAAAATTTATTCAGTTTGAATAATCGAATATAAAGATTAGCGAATTAGGGTTATGTTACTTACCTAGTTTCACCTCTTACTCCTAGTCCAACATAGGCCGCCGATCAGCGTTTAACAAACCTACTCTGTTCTGGACCGTCCTTCCCAGTCCTATCTCAATTACTGTTCATTTTTTTTAAGTCTGCGTCCAACTTTCGGTGTAATGTATTCTCCACCTGAAGCTCTTTTACGTTTACTCCCGATCTCTGGTTGGAAAAAGGAGGAGATTAGAGTATGGGGTTAACGACCTCGAACTGTAGAAAACCAACTTTTTAAAATCAACGCTATTTATTTGATTAAGATTAGAAAATGCTTTTAAACTAGCTATTATACTAACAATTAAAATGGTTGCTTTTCAATATTGAACAATCTTAATCGTATTAAAAAACACAGATATATGAATAAAAGACATTGTTTATAGTCGGCATTCTTTGGTTCCTATAATTCGATATTCAAATTAATAATCAAAAAATTGGACAGGTTTAAGGCTGAAGAGTATAATAGTATTGATAATCATAATAAGAATTTTCGGGTTTACACCTGTATAACTGATGGGGACGCTAGATCCCCAGAACTCACTTGATAAAGGTCTTAATTATTGATTTTATCTGTGAACTGACCAGTTGACCTTGAGATCACACATTTTCCACCCAGAAAATCCTTGAATTTCATTGGTTGATGTATTATTTTAGTACGCTATTTTTATGACTCTCCCAAGAACGTTTCTATGATGTATAAATAAAAGCAATTTGTGTGCTTGAGATCATTGTGTTTGCTGGCTGGGTGTTTGTAGAATTCACTTTCTACGCCATATCAAGTCTTTTTCGTTATTCCCTTTGGGACAACCAATCAGAGTAGCCTATCTTGTCACTGGTTAATTGTGTCGTTCTCGTTTACCGACGACTATAACAATAACCTAATGAAAAAGTTGTCGAAAATAGTCGTGTGATTTACTAAAACTCTTTATTTGTAAACATTTTTTAAAAATAATGCTCCATTATTCCAATTATATGTATGCTGAAATATACTACCATTAGACTGATTTAAATCTAGGTATATACTTAGTGGATAACTTTGAAATATTGTTCTCATTAAGATTAAAAATTCTGATGCGATATTGTGTTGTAACTTCAGCCTTTGGTTAGTTTGTGTTTAGACGAGTAGTTACCTTGTGTGCTGGGGGTGGATGTGTGAGTAACAGAGTGTGAGATTATCTGTGAGAAGAAAGAGTTATGGTCGTCACTTGCTATGCTTGAAACTATAATGGGTTACCCTTAGTTGATAAACGAGAACCAGACAATAAACCAGTGTTCCGGTAGGCTATTCTGATCCGTTTACTCAAAGGAACTAACGACAAAGTCCTGAAATAGCTTAGCAAGTGTATTCTACAAACACTCAGTAAGCACAATAATCTCAAGCACACAAATCGCGTTTATTGATACATCATAGAAACATCCTTGAGACAGTCACAAAAATAGCGTACTGAAAGAACATATCAGCCAAACACAGCCAAAGAATTTCCTGGTAGGAAATGTGATCTCAAGGTCAACTGAACAGCCAATCAATAAACTCCTAAATTATGACATTTATCAAGCGAGTTCTGAAGATCCAACAGATCCCAACAGAAAGAACAACAGAAAAAGATAAGCTGACGACTCAGTAAGCACATAGACTAATACGCTTAAATGCATTAGAGATATCGATCGACAGCAACCAGAAATAAAACAAGTTGTGAGATGAAGACAAACTGATAGACGAAACTAGCATATTGATAGAGTATGATTTTGAATGCTTTATGGTATCTTTCACATGATTAACAATCTCATCTTAATTATGTTATGGACTATATATCTTCCCAACTAATATACTACTCTTCTTTAATTTCATTCTTTAGCAATAGCAATAGCCTACATTTAAGCATTAGAAATAATGAAATTTTCTCAAGGTACATTTATTTTAGAATGTAACACTAGTCATCGAAGCATATTAACGACTTCTAAGAATGATGTTAGACTCTATTCAAATGATTTTCTTAGTGGTTCAGCATATGTTCAGTCTGCGTATGTAGACTATAATTCAAAAATAAATCCTGTAGTTGCTCATCGATTATTTTCAAAGAACAGACATGAAATTCCAATGTTACATGTAATTACATTCGAGGTATTTTCAAAAATTCCTATTCTCAATAAGCTAATTCCTATAATGATACACGGAAAAAAAAATTTATTCATACTTATGATTGTCTTCTTAATTCTTGACGTGACAGTTTATTTTTTTATCAACTTTTATGATTGTTATTTAACAATTAACTTAGTCTATAAATTATTTTCATGGTTAGATTCCGTTCTCTGAGTTGGGGATGTTTTAATTGTGAAGCGTTTCACTGTTCTTCCGGTAGATATGGAAGTGAAGTATTCGAAATTCTCCACGTAGTATAACTTGTAGTTTGTTCTACTGACCTCAATCTTGATTGGTTGTTATCGACCTTTCACCTGTCGTTTTCTTCATTTCTGTGGTGATTTCGTCTTCCTTTGATCTACTTTTCTTGATCCTAATATTTGTCTATGATTTGCCTGATTAGTTAATAAACTGGCAATCCAATGTTCCATGTTTCTTCTAATAGTAGTCTAACATTGATCGATTCATGATTTCAAATGTATAACTTAACAATCTTCACAACCCCGTAATACAAACTAGATCACTGTTGATGTGTTTGTTAATTTCCGATTGACTTAAGTGACAAGTTTCTAAAAATTCTCTAGAGTTCTTTGTACTTCATTCTACTCTCCTTCTCTCTCTCTCTCTAGTTAATTGAATTGTCGTCTATAAGTTATATAAAGTTAGTTTCATTTAAATGTGTCCAAAATTATCAGTTTAGTTCTAATGTAATAATATAAAATGACATTTTTCTTTTCATTTAGACAAAAACAATGACATTACAAAAACATTTCATATCAAATGATCAATATGCTGATAATCTACATTCAAATTCAACCAATTTCATTACATTAACCAATCCATACACTACAACACGTAAAGGTATTCACAACCTACCAACATCACCATCTATGCCATTACCTAACACCACATCAATTGATCATTCTACATGTTATAATTTAAATTTATCTGAAATAGATTATTATTATAGTGAACCATATCATAGTACTAGTAGTACATGTGATACATTCATGGAATACAAACAACAGCCGACGGATCAATTCATTATAGATCATCAACAAAATGATCCTATACTCACTGAGAAACTTGATGAAATTGCTTGTGAAATTGGATTATTACATCATCATAAAGGTACTACAACGACGACAACCACAACAGCAACAACAGCAACAAGAAGTAGAGGATATGAAAGTTCACAGTCATCACAATATGATATTGATGGTAAGTGAAACTGTTCCTATGTTGTTTTTTTCTTTAACTTCTAGTTTATTGATTTTTCGTTTGACAAAATGATATGTGAGTGAGTATGTGGTGATGTGTGAATTTATCGGGGGTTTTACTGTCTACAACAGCAGCTGACCTTATATGGGCAACCAGTGTAGAAGGTCCTGGGTTCGAATCCTGCGACTAGCATAAGTCATCAATGTGCACTGCTACCGATGAGTTCCGTACCAGGACGAAACAGTCTTCTAGAGCTACCATTTTTCTAATGGTGGCCTGACAATGATCAACTCATGATTTCATTTGAGATTGAGATCAAGATGTCCAGATCTCTTGATGGAGACTTAACGCCTTGATCGCCGACTGAGCAGTCGATGGTTTTCACTTCTAACTGTAATCACTTTACGATTTTGTCTGATCAGTAATTGATCTCCTCGTGAAATAATTATTTCAAACTATTCTAATTTACTAATATGATTTTTGTGGAGATCTTCAATAAGTTGAAAATGATTTTCATGACAAATTGACATTAGTTAGAGAACTAATGAAAACCAAAGTGTATTAGAAATATGTTACATCATAGTTGAGAACTCTTCCCATATTTGATCGAGGATAATAAACCTTCAGATCTATTAGCAATCTTCTTGTGAGCACTCAAAAACGTCACAAGACAAGCCGTCACTTGGAACCCCTAAGTTCAAAGGAAAGGGAGAAGATTAATTAACACATTGCGCCAAGAAACGGAGACATACATGAGAAAAATGAGCGAAAATTGAACAGAACTGTAAGGGCAAACCCAGAACAGGGTAGGTAGAAGAATATTAGTCGTTGAACTGTGCGCCATTGGGGGTAACAAGTATAAGTAAATTAAATAAGTAAGTGACTGTTAGAACTTTTATAATTGGATTACAATTAACTGAATAGTATATACTATATATATTACTATTTTCTAAATACATTCTCTATATTGGAACAAATTCTAGTTAGTCGCTATGACAGTTGTTGTCTGTGGAAAAAAAAATTTAACTTTCATATTTGCCATCTTTAATTTACACTGTCTTTCTTTTTTCTAATCACCCTGTAGCGACTAATAACATTTGTTAAAAACTAGTTTTACAAGTTAGAAAGGTGCAAATTTTATCGTGTAAAGGTTATTATGTTATGATAGAAATCGATAAATTAGGTAACCTTTTGATATCAAATTCATGAGAATTTTTGAAATATAATATTAATAATAATAATAATAATAATAATAATAATAAATAATTAACATGACTATGCTGCATTTATTTTCGCTTAAATGTCAATGTGAATGAATTAGGTTCTATTTCTGTTTGATGAATTGTTATACTAGTCATTTGATATGTTCACTTTGGTCGATAAATGAGAACGAGACATTGAACCAGTGACACGATATGCTACTCTGATTGGTTGCCCCAAAGGAACTAATGAAGAAGTATTGATATAGAGTAGAAAGTGTATTCTACAAACACCCAGCCAGCACACAATGATCTAAAGTACACAAATTGCATTTATTTATACATCATAGAGACGTTCTTGAGAGATTCACAAAAATAGAACACTAAAATAACACAGTAACCAATCACAACAATGGATTTTGCTGGCGGGAAATGTAATCTGAAGGTCAACTGTTCAGCTCATGAATAAGTTAAACTTATTATACTGACAAGTGGAAGTGGATAGGACACACATTGCGGAAAGCACCTAACTGCGTCACAAGACAAGTCCTCATATGAAACCCTCAAGGCAAAAGCAAAAGAGGAAGGCCATAAAACACACTACGCCGAGAAATAGAGAAAGATATGAGAGGAATGAACAAACATTAGACAGAACTGGACAGAGAAGCTCAGGACAGAGTTCGTTGGAGAAAACTGGTGGGCAGCATATGCTCTATTGGGGGTAACAGACGTAAGTAATTAAGTAAGGACGTAAGTAGGTAAGCAAGTAAGTAAGTGCATAAGTAAGTAAGTAAGTAAGTAAGTAAGTAAGTGCGTAAGTAAGTAAGTAAGTAAGTGCATAAGTAAGTAAGTAATTGCATAAGTAAGTAATTAAGTAAGTGCATGAGTAAATAAGTAAGTAAGTAAGTAATTAAGTAAGTAAGTGCATAAGTAATAAGGTAAGTAAGTGCATAAGTAAGTAAGTAAGTAAGCAAGTGCATAAGTAATTAAGTAAGTAAGTAAGTAAGTAAGTAAGTAAGTGCATAAGTAAGTAAGTAAGTAAGTAAGTAAGTGCATAAGTAAGTAAGTAATTGCATAAGTAAGTAATTAAGTAAGTGCATAAGTAATTAAGTAAGAAAGTGCATAAGTAATTAAGTAAGTAAGTAAGTAAGTGCATAAGTAATTAAGTAAGTAAGTGCATAAGTAATTAAGTAAGTAAGTAAGTAAGTAAGTAAGTAAGTGCATAAGTAATTAAGTAAGTAAGTAAGTAAGTGCGTAAGTAGGTAAGTAAGTAAGTAAGTAAGTAAGTGCATAAGTAAGTAGGTAAGTAAGTAAGTAAGTGCATAAGTAAATAAGTAAGTAAGTAAGTAAGTGCATAAGTAATTAAGTAAGTAAGTAATTAGGTAAGTAAGTGCATAAGTATGTAAGTAAGTAAGTAAGTAAGTGCATAAGTAAGTAAGTAAGGGCATAAGTAAGTAAGTAAGTAAGTAAGTAAGTTGGTGCATAAGTAATTAGGTAAGTAAGTGCATGAGTAATTAAGTAAGTAAGTGCATAAGTAAGTAAGTAAGTAAGTAAGTAAGTGCACAAGTAATTCAGCAAGTAAGTGCATAAGTAATTAGGTAAGTAGGTGCATAAGTAAGTAAGTAAGTAAGTGCATAGGTAAGAAAGTAAGTAAGTAAGTAAGTAAGTAAGTAAGTAAGTGCATAAGTAATTAAGTAAGCAAGTGCATAAGTGCGTTATTAAGTAAGTAAGTAAGTGCATAAGTGCGTAGGTAAGTAAGTAAGTAAGTGCATAAGTAAGTAAGTAATTGCATAAGTAAGTAATTAAGTAAGTGCATGAGTAAATAAGTAAGTAAGTAAGTAATTAAGTAAGTAAGTGCATAAGTAATAAGGTAAGTAAGTGCATAAGTAAGTAAGTAAGTAAGCAAGTGCATAAGTAATTAAGTAAGTAAGTAAGTAAGTAAGTAAGTAAGTGCATAATTAAGTAAGTAAGTAAGTAAGTAAGTGCATAAGTAAGTAAGTAATTGCATAAGTAAGTAATTAAGTAAGTGCATAAGTAATTAAGTAAGAAAGTGCATAAGTAATTAAGTAAGTAAGTAAGTAAGTGCATAAGTAATTAAGTAAGTAAGTGCATAAGTAATTAAGTAAGTAAGTAAGTAAGTAAGTAAGTGCATAAGTAATTAAGTAAGTAAGTAAGTAAGTGCGTAAGTAGGTAAGTAAGTAAGTAAGTAAGTAAGTGCATAAGTAAGTAGGTAAGTAAGTAAGTAAGTGCATAAGTAAATAAGTAAGTAAGTAAGTAAGTGCATAAGTAATTAAGTAAGTAAGTAATTAGGTAAGTAAGTGCATAAGTATGTAAGTAAGTAAGTAAGTAAGTGCATAAGTAAGTAAGTAAGGGCATAAGTAAGTAAGTAAGTAAGTAAGTAAGTTGGTGCATAAGTAATTAGGTAAGTAAGTGCATGAGTAATTAAGTAAGTAAGTGCATAAGTAAGTAAGTAAGTAAGTAAGTAAGTGCACAAGTAATTCAGCAAGTAAGTGCATAAGTAATTAGGTAAGTAGGTGCATAAGTAAGTAAGTAAGTAAGTGCATAGGTAAGAAAGTAAGTAAGTAAGTAAGTAAGTAAGTAAGTAAGTGCATAAGTAATTAAGTAAGCAAGTGCATAAGTGCGTTATTAAGTAAGTAAGTAAGTGCATAAGTGCGTAGGTAAGTAAGTAAGTAAGTGCATAAGTAAGTAAGTAATTGCATAAGTAAGTAATTAAGTAAGTGCATGAGTAAATAAGTAAGTAAGTAAGTAATTAAGTAAGTAAGTGCATAAGTAATAAGGTAAGTAAGTGCATAAGTAAGTAAGTAAGTAAGTAAGTGCATAAGTAATTAAGTAAGTAAGTAAGTAAGTAAGTAAGTAAGTGCATAATTAAGTAAGTAAGTAAGTAAGTGCATAAGTAAGTAAGTAATTGCATAAGTAAGTAATTAAGTAAGTGCATAAGTAATTAAGTAAGAAAGTGCATAAGTAATTAAGTAAGTAAGTAAGTAAGTGCATAAGTAATTAAGTAAGTAAGTGCATAAGTAATTAAGTAAGTAAGTAAGTAAGTAAGTAAGTGCATAAGTAATTAATTAAGTAAGTAAGTAAGTGCATAAGTAAGTAAGTAAGGGCATAAGTAAGTAAGTAAGTAAGTAAGTAAGTTGGTGCATAAGTAATTAGGTAAGTAAGTGCATGAGTAATTAAGTAAGTAAGTGCATAAGTAAGTAAGTAAGTAAGTAAGTAAGTGCACAAGTAATTCAGCAAGTAAGTGCATAAGTAATTAGGTAAGTAGGTGCATAAGTAAGTAAGTGAGTAAGTGCATAGGTAAGAAAGTAAGTAAGTAAGTAAGTAAAAAAGTAAGTGCATAAGTAATTAAGTAAGCAAGTGCATAAGTGCGTAAGTAAGTAAGTAAGTAAGTGCATAAGTAAGTAAGTAATTGCATAAGTAAATAAGTAAGTAAGTAAGTTAGTGCATAAGTAAGTTAGTAAGTAAGTAAGTAGGTGCATAATGAAGTAAGTGCATAAGTAAGTAAGTGCATAAGTAATTATTTGCATAAGTAATTAAGGAAGTAATTGCATAAATAAGTAAGTAAGTGCATAAGTGCGTAAGTAAGTAAGTAAGTGCATAAGTAAGTAAGTAAGTAAGTAAGTAAGTAAGTAAGTGCATAAGTAAGTAAGTGCATAAGTAAGTAAGTGCATAAGTAATTAAGTAAGTAATTGCATAAATAAGTAAGTAAGTGCATAAGTGCGTAAGTAAGTAAGTAAGTGCATAAGTAAGTAAGTAAGTAAGTAAGTGCATAAGTAAGTAAGTAGGTAAGTAAGTGCATAAGTAAGTAAGTGCCTAAGTAATTAAGTGCATAAGTAAGTAAGTAAGTAAGTAAATATGTAAGTAAGTGGCGAAGTAATTAAGTAACTAAGTAAGTGGCGAAGTAAGTAAGTAAGTAAGTAAGTGCATAAGTAAGTAAATGCATAAGTAAGTAATTGCATAAATAATGAAGTAAGTAATTGCGTAAATAAGTAAGTAAGTGCATAAGTTAGTTAGTAAGTGCATATGTATGTAAGTAAGTTAGTAAGTAAGTGCCTAAGTAATTAAGTAATTGGGTGCATAAGTTAGTAATTAAGTAAGTAATTAAGTAAGTAAGTAAGTGGCGAAGTAAGTAAGTAACTAAGTAAGTGGCGAAGTAAGTAAGTAAGTAAGTAAGTGCATAAGTGAGTAAGTGCATAAGTAAGTAAGTAAGTAAGTAAGTAAGTGCATAAGTAAGTAAGTAAGTAAGTAAGTAAGTAAGTAAGTAAGTAAGTAAGTAAGTAAGTAAGTAAGTAAGTAAGTAAGTGGCGAAGTAAGTAAGTAAGTAAGTAAGTGCATAAGTGAGTAAGTGCATAAGTAAGTAAGTAAGTAAGTAAGTAAGTAAGTAAGTAAGTAAGTAAGTAAGTAAGTAAGTAAGTAAGTAATTGCATAAGTAATAAAGTAAGTAAGTGCATAAGTGCGTAATTAAGTAAGTAAGTAAGTGCATAAATAAGTAAGTAATTGCATAAGTAAGTAATTAAGTAAGTGCATAAGTAATTAAGTAATTAAGTGCATAAGTAATTAAGTAAGTGAAAGCATAAGTAATTAAGTAAGTAAGTAAGTAAGTAAGTGCGTAAGTAAGTAAGTAAGTAAGTAAGTGCATAAGTAATTAACTAAGTAAGTAAGTAAGTAAGTAAGTAGGTGCATAAGTAAGTAAGTGCATAAGTTAGGAAGTAAGTAAGTAAGTGCATAAGTAAGTAAGTAAGTAAGTAAGTAAGTAAGTGCACAAGTAAGTTAGTAAGTAAGTAAGTAGTTGCATAAGTAATAAAGTAAGTAAGTGCATAAGTGCGTAAGTAAGTAAGTAAGTAAGTGCATAAGTAAGTAGGTAATTGCATAAGTAAGTAATTAAGTAAGTGCATACGTAATTAAGTAAGTAAGTGCATAAGTAAATAAGTAAGTAAAAGCATAAGTAATTAAGTAAGTAAATAAGTAAGTGCATAAGTAATTAAGTAACTAAGTGCATAAGTAATTAAGTAAGTAAGTAAGTAAGTAAGTAAGTAAGTAAGTAAGTGCATAAGTAAGTATGTAAGTAATTAAGTAACTATGTGCATAAGTAATTAATTAAGTGAATGAAGAAGTAATTAAGTAAGAAAGTGCAAAATTAATTTAGTAAGTAAGTAAGTAAGTGCATAACCTCCTCAACATGAATAATTTATGCTTATTATGCTTACAAACATTGATGCCATTAAAACAACAAACTTATACGAGTATTCATTTATAGAATGTTCATTATAATTTTCTTTTAAAATGTATGATTACCAATAAACTCTGTGTTAATTAAAATTTCTTAGGTCTCGTATCTACAATCAGTTCATGTTCAGAATCGAATTTACCTAAAACTACATTAAATCAACAAGCATTAACAATGAAAATATCAACAATTATTTCTAATCCAATCTATGTGAATTCATACACCACAAAAAATAATATCACCAATCATGAAATCAATCATGAATCAACATCTTTTTTAACAACCAGTCCAAAAATTGTAGATACAAGGCATAGAACACATTTATCACGAATTGATTCATCACTATCATCGAATGTTGACAAAATTCAATTACACAGTCGACCAAATAGTACAGGTAGTCAAATTATTCAAAAATTTCTTCTACGTCATTTATCACCAAAATTTAGACATAGTTTATCAAGACTTTCTAGTAGTAGAAGAAGAAAAAAATATGAACAGTCAAATTTAAATCAAGATATTATTGAAAATTTACACTCCTTTTCATCAACTTTTGAACGTTGTAAATCGGAACGTTATTCATCACCAAGAAAATCATTGCTACGTTTTATTCCACATTGTTCAAGTCGATCAAAAGAGCATAAACAGAAGCAGCGCCCAACTACTGAAGGTAATCACATGTTATTATTAAAATTGTTTTCATTTTAAAGTTTGTATAAGAATCTGAATTGTGAAATCACGAAATAATCATCGTTAGACCAGCATTAGAAACCTGGAAGAATCTAAACAGACGTTTCATGCTGTAATCGAACTCATCAGCTGTGCAAGCCCACGACACTCGCAAGTCGCAGGAGTCGAACCCGGGACCTACACTCTTGCGCGCGAACATCTAAACCGGCATTCAATGATGTTAATGTCTTGCTCTGATCTATCTAGGGATTTCGCGCGACCTCATCCATTTGTCTTTGGTAGTTACTGCTGGTCATGTCTTCTTACTAGAACTCCGATAATTTCCTTACGTAACTGATCATCACTAGTGAGTATATTGTACGACTCTTCATTTACAGTGTTATAGTGATGGTAGTTTTACTTTGAATTCATGAAAGAAACATTGTGGTCTAATAAACATTCACTCATGATTTCAGGGTTAAACGATCATCGCTTTAATACTTTAAATGAAGAATCTGAATGTTATTAAAGTATGGTTTGATTATTCAATGTTAAGTGAATGTTTCCGTTTGTTCACTATTATTTACAAACGATTATAAGTTTGATGTGAAGAAGTAAGTCCTTAAAAAAAATCAAAGCAACACTTGTGTTGGACTTTACTACTAACGAAAGTTTTACTTACTTACTTACTTACTTACGCCTGTTACCCCCAGTGGAGCATAGGCCGCCCACCAGTTTTATCCAACCAACTCTGTCCTGGGCTTCCCTTCCCAGTTCTGTCCAATTTTTGTTTATTCTTTTCATGTCTTTCTGTATTTATCGTCGTAATGTGTTCCTTGGCCTTCCTCTTTTCCTTTCGCCTTGAGGGACCCATGTGAGGGCTTGTTTCGTGACGCAGTTGTGTGCTTTTCGTAGTGAGTGTCCTATCAACTTCCATCGCTTCTTCCTGATTTCCTCCTCCACTGTAATCTGGTTTGTTCTCTCCCACAGTTTGTTGTTGCTGATGGTGTCTGGCCAACAGATCTGAAGTATTTTGCGTAGACAACTGTTAATAAACGAAAATTTCATTATTTGAAAATGACTTACAGTTCGTTTCGGTTGAATAGATTCAAATCAGCCTTTAATACTGTTGACCTAAAATTATTTTAAATTCGTATTATACTTTTAATGAATCTATTTTATATGTGTCTATGCTACTCAAGTTGAATGCTCAACTAGTTTGAATTAAATTACCTTATACTCATAACCATCTGATTAAAATGTCCTTGAAGTGAAATCGCATAACTTTTAAAATCTAACTGTAATAAAATGCTTTTATAAGATAATAAATTAATTTAGTTACACAATCAGGTAACACTAGATGATGAATGATTGTTATACTACTGAATAAAAGAAAACATCTAGGCTCTTAAATGCACATGTTTTGTAGTGGACACCTTACCGTCGTTATATATCACTATATTTCAAAATCAAACAATTTCTAGTCAGTCAGATTTTACATAAATAAACCTTTACATATCTTTTGTCATAATACAAAAACAAAACAAATTTTTTTGCACCTTTGAAATCATCTCAATCAATCAGTGATTTTTAGACCACCATTAGAAACCCACAAGCACTGGATGGCGGTTTCGTCCTGGTACGTGACTCGTCAGCAGCAGTGTCCATCTACGACTCCTGCACCTCGCACGATTCAAACCCGGGACTTTCGGTTTAGTGCGCGAACGCCACTTGGCCGGCATCCAAAAAGATCCATCTAACGTCTGTCCAGTGCTTCCAGGTTTTATTGAAAACAGTTTAATGAAGATTGTATTATTTTCAAAATTCACGAATCTGAAATGAATCTTAGTTAGACTAATGTATGAAGAATCCTATACTCAGATCAAAACAACCTAACCAATCCTTCTTAATTACTAATAATAATCTAGCCAGGATCAGTTAGAAAAGAATTCTATTGAAATTCCATTATCCAAAACTTGTACTATTTATAAATCCTAATTAATAATAATAATAATAATAATAGTAATATACTTCTTTTTACACAAAAAAATGACTATCTAGAAACTGGTATACCATACATACATACATACAGAATCACTAAAAAATATGCAGAATATTTCAAAGTAGACATCATATATATATATATATATATATATATAAATATATCTATAAGTAATATATATACTATAATAAATGTCAATAGAAATATTCTAGTCACAAGAAAAAACCCGAAATAGTTTCATGTAACAACATATTATCTCATTCCCCCTACGATTATTTCATTCATTAAAACAAGAATCAAATGTGAAAATGTGCTGGTTGTTTCATTCACAATAGTACAATGTAATACTACTACTATTAATAATAATAGTAATATTAACAATAATAATAATAATTATTATTATTATCATCATAATTATTTATCATGACCGTTATCATAAACAATATAAAATTTATAAGGTGAAGAGTATAAATTCAATTTTACTAAATAAATTTTTATTCAACATTTCCAATTAATTATACACATAAATATTTAGTATTTTTTTAAAAAAAAAATAAATCAACAATGTTAGTTAGGTTACTATAGTGATATTTTCATTTCAAACAAATACTTGAAAAACAAATTGAATATAAACAAGAAAGTAAGCGAGAGAGTGAGAAAGAGAAAGAGAGTAATAAATATTGGGGAAAATTGAGAAGAAAAAAAATTAGAAGGTTACAATAATAATAATAATAATAATAATTGAATAAGATGGATTTATTAAGTAAAAAATAAAAACTTGGAAAAATCAACTTTTGGGCGGATTAAAAAAATGTTTATATTCTTTCTAACTTGAACTTGAATTTTTTTACTGATATTAAATTTAAAAAAAAATAAGAATAACAATTGTTTTTTTCATTTTTTTTATTTTTTTCTAAAGTCTGGAAGAATTTTATTTTTTTCTATTGAGATTCTGTTTAATTGTTGAATTTAATGACTGAATATTTTCTTAAATTAAAGTTATGGAGGTCATTGTTTGTTTACACAGTGAAATCCTCACCAGAGATAACTTGCTGCATGAGGAAATTCTCTGAATTCTGGTTAGAAGACGTGAAGTTTGACCTTGTCGGTTGTGAGTAGCACCCATTGAAGACAATGGGTGCATTTGTGCAAAATCCTTAGGTGGATCAAATTAGAAATTAGCAGCGTTGGATGCTTGTCGGCTCAGTGGTCTAGAGGTAAGTAGTTCGCACAAGAAGCAGGATCCGTAGATGCGCATTGCTGATGAGTCCCACACTAGGACTAAAGGGCCGTCCAGTGCTTCCAGGTTGCTAATGGTGGTCTAAGAATGATTGATTCATGATTTCAATGTGTAAAAATTTCACTGAATAATCTTAAAATTATATGGTTTTGTATTTTCGAATCTTTAGAGATGAATAGATATTCATTTATTTATTTTTTGAAACCGTGAATCGATCTATGTTAGACCACCATTAGAAACCTGGAAGCACTGGACGGCCATTTCGGCCTGGTATGGGATTCCTCAGCAGTAGGCATCCACGACTCCTACACCCCGCAGGATTCGAAACCGGAAACTTCGGTATTGTAGGCGAACGCCTAACCTCTGGATCACTGAGCCGGTATCCAACGGTGTTATTGTCCAACGTGATCAATTCACGGAGTTGCGCAACCTAATACACAGTCTTCGGTGGACACTGCCTACACCCGAACAGGTTGAACTTCATTGGTCACGTCTTCCCTCTAGAACTCGGAGAAGATTCCTCACGGAACTAGGCACTAGTAAGCACAGGTAATTTGTATTACGGGGTTGTGAAGATTGTTAAGTTTTTTTTTTACCTGTGCTCACTAGTGACTAGTTCCGTGAGGAATCTTCTGCGAGTTCTAGTGGGAAGTCGTGACCAGTGAAGTTCAACGTGTTCGGGTGTACACAGTGTAACTGCCGAAGACTGTGTATGAGGTTGCGCAACTCCGTGAATTGATCAAGTTAGACATTAACACTGTTGGATACCGGCTCAGTGGTCCGATGGTTAGGCGTTCGCCTACAATACCGAAGTTTCCGGTTTCGAATCCTGAGGGGTGCATTAGTTGTGGATGCGCACTGCTGAGCAGTCCTGTACCAAGACGAAACGGCCGTCATTCAGTGCTTCCAGGTTTCTAATGGTGATCTAACATTGATCGATTCATGGTTTCAAAAATGTGTAACTTGACAATCTTCACAACGCCGTAATATAAAGATATTTATTTGAAATCAGTTCTAAACAATGTGCAATGAGTATGTTTAGTTTAACCTCTTTAATAAGTGACAACAAATTGATAGATTTATTCCCCAGGCATATTCACAATTTTTAAGCATATGTGAAGTTTTTAGGATTTCATTTGTGCGCAAGACCGAAAGTCGTAGGTCTGAATCCTGAGAGTAGCACTAGTTGTTGATACGCAATACTATTGATAAGTTCCATACCAGGATGAAATGGCTATCCAGTACTTTCAAATTTCGAATGGTGCATATAACTTTGATTGATTCATGATATCAAAAAAAAACTCAACAATTTTACCATCCCCTAATACAAAATCATATAAATACTGGCTTGAAAGGCAACTTACACAAGTTTTTTAAATCATATATTTTCCAGTTTTATAATAGTAAATTAATCTGTTTGGATTATATTAGTGGCATAGTGTTAAGTATGTACTTAAACATGTCATTTTAATGTGCTTGAATTATTATTACGAATTTACCTTGGTCGGGAAACGAGAGAGAGGATTGAGGATCTGGTGACAACGACATGCTACTCTAATCCAAGTGTCCGAACCCCCATTGAGTGAAAGAAGAAGACTTGCTTTGAAGTAGAACCTGTATTCTACAAGCATTCAGAAAGTACGAGGTCCGAGTCCAGAATAGAATCGGGATTCCGGACTAAGGATCCGTGTCCGTGTCCGGGTCATTAAACGATTCAGATGATTCGCATTTATATAGTTAGGTCGAAATGGAAACAGTA